ACAGGGACCTTTGCCACCTGGGAGGGAGGAAGGGCTCCCCAGAGAATCGGGCCCCTGGCCCCGGGCATGGATTTCAGTAAGACCGAGGAGCTCTGTGGGTGGGGGTAGGCTCACCGGGTCTGCACCCTGGTTGAAGGACAAGGACATGACCTGCACTGATCCCGTCTCTTTTGCCTGGTCCTGTCATGGATGTTGGTAAGGGTGATACTCTCACAACAAAATGTGTGTTTACTGACTGCTTGCTGTGGGCCAGGCACTGTAAGAAGCGGTGTTAACGTCACTCGCGCTCCCTGGGTGACAGTTAGTGTTTGTTATTCCCCACCCTCACGTGAGGGTGCTCTCTTTTTTGCCCTTTTGCAGATGAGAAAACCGAGGCTGCGTTTAGGCAACTTTCCTAAGGGCCACATAGCAAAAGGGGAGCTTTTAGCCTGGGCTAGTAGATATGTGGAGAGGAAGAAAGGAAGCCTCCCAGGTTGGGGACACAGTAGCATGTAGGCCATGACCTTGGAACCATCCAGCAGCCTTGCCTGGGGAGATGGTGATTTTATTATTTTTAACAAATTCCACTGAGGGCTTACTATGTGTCAGGCACTGTGCCAAGTGCTTTGCAGGATCCCCTCTCTCAGTCCTTACTAGGACCTACAAGGTGATATTAGCCCCACTTCAGAGAGGATAAGACAGGATTAGCAAGGTTAAGTAATTTGCCCAGGGGCTGTCTTAACTCCAGAAAAGGCCTTTGTCATGCCTCCCTCTGTGCCACACTGCCTCTGATGTCCGCCCTGGGCAACGGGGTCCTGGCGGCTCAGGGTTCCTTCTGTAACGCAGACGAGTCCCAGAGGAGCATGGCTAGCTCCATGTCATTCTGGGACCCTCTGGGCCCGATTGAACAGAGAGAAACGGAGATTTGGAGAAAGGGACTGGGGCTTTCCAGCCAAGGAGAGCATCCAGAGAGAGCCCCTTTGGGGCTCCCGCTATCTCAGACAGACCGTAGGGATGTCTGTCCTCTCTCCATTTTGGTTTCCATCTCCTCAAAGTCCCGTGCACTGCTGGGCTCCCCAGCTCTGGTTGACAGCCGTGCTCACGGTGGGGTTTTGTGTCTGCTCCCTGTGCCCCTCCTCCGCAGCTCTGTCCCAGATGGGCTACAACCTGAGCCCCCAGTTCACCCAGCTCCTGGTCACCCGCTACTGCCCGCGCTCCGCCAGCCCTGCCATGCAGCTAGACCGCTTCATCCAGGTGTGCACCCAGCTGCAGGTGCTGACCGAGGCCTTCCGGGAGAAGGACACAGCCGTGCAGGGCAACATTCGGCTCAGCTTTGAGGACTTCGTCACCATGACAGCTTCTCGGATGCTCTGAGCTGGCCCATCTGGGGAGAGCAGAGTGGACCAGGGGCCTTTCCTGGCTCCTGAGAGTGGGAGAGGCATGTGGGACTCTCCTCTTTTCCTGCCCCTTCTAGAAAAAGATTCTCCCTTGCCTGATGCAGCACTGTTTCCGAAGAGGGCTGGGAGTCCCGGGTCCCTGTCACCAAATTGTGGGGACCTGGGCTGAGGCCACACAGGTAGTGGCCTGACCTAAGAGAGGACTGAAGTTGAATGTCCTGAGCATTTAATGTCCTGAGCCCTAAGCATTTAAATGACCCAGCCTTGTGCCGGGAGCAGGAGATGTCAGTGGAGTGAGTAGTGCCCAGTCAGCTGAGCTCCGGCCTCTGGCTGTTCCTTCCGCGCCCTGACGCCAGTGGTAAGTGTTCATCAGCTCTTGCCATTAGCACCTGAGCCCCTCACCGTCACCGTCTTGTCCAATGAGCCCAGTTTCTCCAAAGTGGGAGTTAACCAAGCAGGAGGGAGGTTTGTCCACGGCACCAAGTGGCTTGGGTTCCACCAGCCCCACGTCCCAAATCCGCGCGTTGACTTCTAGCTGCCTGGGTGCCGTCCCTGCTCAGGGAGCTCAGAAAGTCCGTTCTCTGGGCATCCTCGGCCAGGCTCCCCCTCTGCAGCTTGAACCCCTCCCTTGCCTGCCATTCTCTGCTTGGCTTCAATCCCCAGGGGATAGTTGCCTCCTCCCAATGCCAATGCTCTTTTTTTATTTGTGTGTGTGTGTTGTTTTTTTTTCTTCTTTCGGGGCCAAAAGTCCAGTGAAACTGTAAGCTTCAATAAAAGGACAAAACTCTGTAGTTCATGCATCCCATCCCACCTTCCTAGCTGTGGGTTTATCTGCGGGATTTGTGCGTGCGCACCCATTCAGCGAACATCGAAGTGCACACTGCACACCACACGGTGTGGGAAGGGGCGTCTCATGGGGACATGGCCCACATGGGGCCGGTCCCATTTATCAGGGTGGAGCTCCAGTGCAGGGGCTGGCCAGGTTCGTGTGTTCTGTCACCGTTCTAGGACTGTTGCTGTTCTAGGACTGTGCTCTGGGCCACAGGCACCACCCCAGACTTCACAGCATGGCCTTTTTATTATCTCAAGCCCTAGTTTGATCTTCCAGACAAACTGCATTTATTAAGTCATAACTTTCCCCCATTTTTATTAAGCACAGACATCTGTCCTTGCTAGCTGGGTCTTGAGATCAGCGTGATAATCAGTCTACACCAAATGTCTACAGTGATCTGACAGAATTTCAATCAAAAGCCAAGACACCAGACATTCTGGTTTGTTGGGGGGGACCTGATCATGGGCACTGGTGTGATAATTCTTTTCCTCTTGGGAATGAAGAGAAGAAAGCTCTGGGCCCAGCAGGTGGTGGTTGGAAGCAGCTCAGTGAGGCCCTGCAGGTATGTGGGGCTCAGCCAGCTCAGCCCTTTTGTCCTCTGGGCTGCCAACATGCTAGAATGCTGGCACCAACCCAGGTGGAACCCAGTTCCGGAGGCCAAACTCCACCCGGGGCTAGAATCCTCTCTGTTGCCCCATGGTCAGTCCTGCCTCTGCCTACCAGCCTCCAGGGACAGACAGCTCAGTGCCCTTCCAGGAAGCAGGCTTCCTCTGACCAGCAGACACTTCTTCCTGATGAGATTCCAAATCCTGCCACCTTGAAAACTACCCCTGGACTAGCGTTTTCTCTCTTGGGCCACCCAGAAGCTCTCTCTCCCCTTCCTGCCAGCCCCACCTCTAGACACCTAGAACTGCCATGTTCCCCTGGGAACTCCCTTCCCTGGGCTGGGTGGCCCCGGGTGCTTCCGCAACTCTTCCCTGAGCATTGCTCACCTTGGCATCCTCGTCCTCTGAATTTTCTCCAGTTCATCTGAACCTCCCCAAGTGGAGGCCTTGAGCCCACCATTGGACTGGATTCAGCCAGCGGAATAGAGTAGAATGAAGCCATTACAGGACACTTCTCTCCTTCGCTCCCACCGAGCCAGGTGTCGACAGCCATGTCTCTAGAATGGCACCAATCACAGTCTCAGCCTCGTGTTCAGCCCGGGCTCCTTAGCCCCAGACCTGGGTTGGTCCTCGTGGGTATGGTTGGTTCCAAGCCTGGGAGCCTGCCGTCACACACCATTCTGCACACTGCACGTCCAAGCCTGGCTACATGAAACGGCCCACAGCTTGGGATCGCAAGGCCAACAGGAGCGAGGAAGGAGCAGGGTGGCCTGTCCCACCAGGCAGCACCCGGGCATCCGTGGAAATGGCCATAAGCACTGGGTTGGAGAGTCGCCCAGAGAGTGGACAACATCCTTAGGCCATACCTTCCACCTGCTCTGGGAGAAGTGTGATGCCTAAGAGGAGGGGCGCTTAAGCATCTCTGGGCCGGGGCCCTGGCAGGACCATGGTTTTGCCCCATTTTTTTGGTGGGGGAGGTCAGAGGGAGCCCGGAGCTCCATTCATCAAATCAAGCAGAGCCAGGGGGCACACACAGCTGAGCTGGCCCCCGCCAGATGTCTCCCGCCCGTCAGCGGAACCCTCCTCAAGCCCGTACTCCACTTCCTGCCCTGGCAACGAGGGGCAGGGCCTCTGGCAGCCCTCTAATCATCTTGGTGGCAGATGGAGCACGTCTGGGGCTCTTTTTATCCTGTGAGTTCATAGAAAATAAATGCAAGCCTAACTTCCAAGAAGGTGAAGATAATGGTAAATCAGTCTTAACCCCGCTGTCTGCCCCCGCATCTCCCTTACCTCCTGTAGGCCACTGGGACCAGAACTGTCACAGCAGACAGTTGTGTCCAGAACCCAGGTCCTGCAGGAGGCAGCGCTGCATGGGCTCTGAATCCGGGCTCGGAGCCCATCTGGGATCCAGGGTGTTGGGAGGGGTGGGCGGTGGTCAGCAGATCATAGCATTCCAGTGCTGCCTGGTCTTCTCCCCTACCCCAAGCTTCCCCGCTGTCTCTCTCCTCACCTCAGCAGCACAGATTTTGTGCAATGACAAGGAAAAGGAACATTCAGTGCCAGGCTTTTAATTACAATTGCTTCAGGCTGCTGGCCTCCATGCCAAATGGCCACACGGAGAATGTTCTAGCACACCAGAAAGCCGACGGGGTCCAGTCTGCGGTGCACACGGCACGTGGCCAGGATGGGGCTGTGTTCCTACCAGGGAAAGGCTGGACCCCGATTCATTCACGTGGGCCTCAGAGCAGCTGGGCTTTCCGCTGGAGCCGCTGGGCCAGATGGCACTGCCCGCCAGGACCCTTACAACAGACTCCAGGGAAGGCCTGTAATTGGGTGGGAGAGAGTTCTCTGGGAGGAAGGCCGAGCTGCAGAAGGATGATAGGGATGGATGAGACCGTGGGGCACAGCCATGTGGGAGGAATAGGATAATCCCGTCCACAACACTTCACAATCTACAACGAGCTTTCCGCTTTCTCGAGCATGCTTAATCCTCCCATCAATCCTGCTTAGGAGACAGGGCTCAGAGAAGGGAAGTCACTTGCCCAGAGTTAAACAGGCAGAAAACCAGGTCTGGAGCCATGGCCTCCCACTGCATCCAGCAGTCTCCACAAGGAGTCAGGGGAGCAGCCCAAGCAGGAAGCAGCTCGTACCACCTCCCCCGCCGGGAGCCACCAGGGCGACTGTCTCTCAGGGCAGCACCGTGGTGACAGTGGTGAGCACCACGTGCTCGGGGACTTTGGAGACGGAGTACCGGCTGTGCAAGGACAAGGACTTGTGGCTGGCAGAGGAGCGGGGGCTGGGGGCCTTCGGAGAGTAGCAGGGACCCAGGCCAGGCAGGCAGCTGGAGAAGGCGGCCTTAAACTGCTCCCGGAATTTGCCTTGGTTGGAGACAGAAGACACAGCCATAAGGAGATGGATGAAGCAGGAAGGTCCTTGGGCCCAGGAACACCCACGCAGCTCCAGCCAAGCTGCCTGTGAGGGGGCGGGAGGGCAGGGGAGAGCTGGGACGAAGAAAGCCCCAAAGGCGACCTTGGCATTGCCAGGGAGAGTGAGCACAGAGGCCCCGGAGCAGTTCCCAAGGAGAAATGCAATTTTCATCTGATTCCTTGACTGCACTCTGGCTCTGAGCCCGGCTCAGAACGTGGTGTCTGGTTCCGGGGCCTGGGGCCACCTCTGCCCCCCTTGGTGGGTAGGGGCAGAGGCTCGGACTCATGGCTATGGCTAGGCTATCCCCACCCGTGCCCCACAGTGACGGAAAGGACAGCAGCAGCCTGCATGAGGCCCTGTGAGGGGCACCTCCGCTTTGCCCCACGCACCGCTCCTCCCCTGCTTCTCCCAGAACCCTGAGAGGCTGGCGTCCTTTATCCTTACTTCATAGGTGAGACGCACAATGGTGTAGAGACCTGCCCAAGGTCCCCCAGCCAAAAGTCAGGCCCAGTTCTCATTCCGGAGCCCTTCTCTTGAAGGGGACAACAGAGTAGGGAAGAAGGGACTACCACAGCCAGCTTGGTCAGCCAAAGGACACCAAGGAAACAGACGGTGTCTGGAGCAGAAAACTCCTTGACCACGCTTCGTCAGCCAGCAAGCCTCCCTCGGGCCCCAGCAGAGGCCCAGGCACACAGTAGGTGCTCAGTAAACGGACACAAGACAGGAATGCCTGGCAGGAAGTCTGGTTGCCGCCTTTGTGGCAGCCCTTACATCTTCTGTTCTCTCCCCTGAGCTGGAGACTGCCGGCTAGCCTTCGAGGACTAATTCTTTAGTCTCAGTGAGGGTTAGGATATGAACCCCCAGCCCCTCCTTCAGCTTTTCCCAAAGATCATTGTTCCCAGGCTTGAAGAGGCATCTGGACCAGCTCGTTAGGCCTAGTTCTGCAGCCAGAGGCCTCGTGAGCCACACTTCTGCTGAGCCCAGGTGGGTCCGCGGGCAGAGGTGTTACCACCCGGAGCCTGGGAGGTTGGGGCAGGAGGTGCACACAGTGGGACAGCAGAGGGGAGCGGCCTGGGGTGGGGTTAGGGGACTGGGGATGCCTGGACTTCCAGACAGGAGAGCAAGAAGGCTGGTACTGGAGACAGATGGGTCCAGGGACAGTCCCCCACATTCTGGCGGCTCTGCCAGTTCCTGTCTAGCTGGGCATGGGGAAGCCCTCCCCGGCCCTGGGCAGCCTCTACTGGCGATCCTCCCTTACCCAAATGACTTGGTTATGCAGTCATCCTCTCGGGTGGGAGCTCCCGGGCCCTCTTCCCATAGGCCTGGCTCCCCCAGAGCCTGTGTTGGCCAGACAGGGCCGACTAGAGGTTCTGGTGTGTGGCCTGTCTCCCACTTAGACCAGGGCTCCTGATCAGGGCCAGGTCTCTCCCAAATGAGAGTTCCCAGAGCCAGCTCGAGATCCCCAGGCGGGAGCAGGGACATCCCCTCCTGCCATCCCTTTATTCAGCCTGGCTTGGGGGTGTGCAGACTATTGTCCCGAAGACTGCCGCACCCTTCCCCACCCATCCCCCTACCTCTCCAGCCCGCTTACCACTGAGGAAGTTGTAGATGATGGGGTTAGCAGCGCTGTTGGCATACACCAGCCAGTGCGAGAAGGTGAAGCAGGCATAGACGGCTTCTCGGTCGCTGGCTTGGCGGAACATCCCGAACACCCTAGGACCAGGGGGAGGACAGTCAGAAATGGGGTAGAAGTGTGTGCACGTGTTCCCATTTTTGTTGGGTGGGAGTCACTGTCCTTATCTAAAACACAGGAAAGCCAAGGCTCAGAAAGGGGAAGTGAGTTGACCAAGGTCACACAGCTCACTAGTGGCTATCGAGTGGAAGAGTTCCCACTGCCCCTTCTGTCCCACCAGGTGGCCCTTTCCTGGGCCTTTAGGTCTGAGGTCTTGAGCACGGAGAGTGTAACCAGGGTGGCTGTCGGGACAGGGACCAGGGTCCATCTGCTCATTCACCGGCTCTCAGATCCCCTGGGACCCCCATCCACTTCCTCACCCACCCTTGCAGCGACATGAGGAGTCAAGAAGACATCATCCATTGTTCAGTTAGGGAGGTGCACAGAAGCAAAATGACATGCCCGAGATCACAGGAAGTGATCCAGGAAATGGCCAAGCACAAACTCACACTGAGATTGGCTCCTGACAAACAGCCCGCTGCTCTCTCCTGGTGCCCCGCAGCCCCTCACTTGCTGAACCCCGTGTTCCCTCCGCTTCCAGTGCTTTCCTCCAGACACCTGCTGGCCTGGTCCCTTGGTTTCCCCCCTTCCTTCAAGTCCCTGCCAAATGTCATTTCCTCAGATGAGCCTTTTTTTTTAACCCTTGTATCTAAAAAAAAAAAAAAGATGAAAAAATAAACACACAAAACCCCACTAACTCGTCACCTTCACTCTGTTCTTTCCCTATTTTGTCTTCATCGTGGTATCCCTCCCTGCCCGTACAGTGGAGACTTATTTCTCTGTCCCACTAGATGTCGCCTCCAAGAAGGCAGAGACTTTGTCTTGTGCACGTGGTCACTGTGCTCCCTGCCCCCCACCCCCACGGGGAGCTGATGGTTGAGAGAAGAGATGGAGGAATTTTCATAATCCCCTTGCAGGCCACGGCTGGCTGGCGTTATTCACAGTTTACAGGCAAGAAATTGAGGCTGGGAGGCTCCGAGAAGGGAAATGACCTGCCTCCAAGGCCACATAGTGGGTGAGGACTAGGGCCCTTCTTCCCCCCAAGCAGAGAGAGGCCACCAGCTATCCCCTTGCTCTCTCACCTCTTGAGGACATTGAGGACGCTGATGGGCAGGTAGCAGAGGGCAAAGACCAGCAGCACCACCATCAGCATCTTGGCCGTCTTCCTCCGCGCCCGCATCTGCTTCATCTCAGCCAGGAAAGCCCGGGCCCGGGCCCGGGGCGGGGGCTCTGCGCTCGGGCCCTGCCCCGGGTCGTCCGACTGGTCTGAGGGCCGCTTCCAGTTCCTCACCAGGGCTGATGTGGTGCCGGGGATCTGGTCGGCACAGAGAGTGAGAGAGCGGTGGTGGGTGGGGCTCCTCGGGAGGGCCATTCTCCTCTGCGGAGTGCTGCTCCGGGGGGACCCTGGGGCAGGCTGGAGGTGGGCCAAGGGAAGGAACCTAATATTCATGATGAAGACCGACACTCAGGGCTGGAGGGGCCCCGTGAACTTGAATCTCTCAGGAGCTCATTGTGAACCCCCCACGGTGTGCCTTCGGGGAAGGGCTTCCTGGCCCTCAGTTACTGATGAAAGAACAAAACCTCAGAGAGGCAGGAGACTCTAGAACATCCTCCCGAGCTACCCCTCCATCCTCCTTAGGCCATCGCTTCCCGTTGTGGGGGGAGGGGTGGTGGGGTGAGTTGTGCCCCCCACCTCGCCTGTGCCTGACCCCGGAAAGCGAGCAGAGCAGGTGAGCAGGTGAGCGGCATGGAATGGCCGGAGCCTCAGAGCACAGTCCCTGCCTCCGTCACAGCCCAGAAACCTGGGAGGGGTCCAGGTTTCAGGAGCAGCCATAGATCTCCTTGAAGCCTCTCACACCATTGGACACATGAATCACCCCCCAAAAGAAGGGCACAGGGCTACAGTTGAGGAAAATTAGGGGCTAGAGCCAGCTCAGCTGTTCATGACCTGTGTGAGCTCACTCAACCCACTCTCCTGCCCCGAGCCTTGGTTTTCTCATCTATTAGAGGAGGATAGTGACTCTTGGCATCGGGACGGGGGGGTGGGGGGCGGCTATCGGGCAGAAAGCAGGTGCTGGTGGACTGCAGGCTGGTCACCTTCTGGTCTGCATCCTCGCCTTGCCCAGGCACAGGACCCAGAACTTAGCCCCCTGGTACCCAGAACCTCTGAGCACTCCCCTCCCCCCACAACCACCCCCTGCCCCCCAGAACCTGCCGTTGGTGGGTCTGTAACAGAGGCCAGCAGGCAGGCCCTGGAACCGGAAAGCTTCTGCCACCCGTCTGCTGTGGCAAGTTGGCCGCCCTTTGTCAGCATTGGCAATGGGGGTTCTACTGCTTCTGTGCTTAGGTTGTTGTGAAGACGTTGGGAGCCAAGTGCCGAATTTGGCAAAAACGCAGAGATAATGTTGTTGTGGGGCCAACGTGGGCATTAGAATGCCACTGCTCTTCCCCTGGCTGGCTGAGGGGTTTGGGAGAAGAGGCTTTGCCTCTCTGGGACTCCGTTCTCTCATACATTCAGCTGGGGACAATATACGAGGGTTGAGAGGAGGCGAGACTAGCTGGAAGTACCGGGTACAATGAAGGGCAGCTACTGGGCTCAGAACGATGATGAGGTTTTAGATACTGAAGCCGGTGTCAGTTAACATTCGGTTGCAGGGTCGGCCGCAGTGCTTTGGCCTTGACTTTGACCTGTCCCTGGGCCTTGCCTCTCTCCGGTGGCAGCCGGGATGGCAGATTCTTTCTGTTCCCTCAGACCAGGACCCCTTTCCTCCCCACCAGCCCAGACAGGGACACCAGAGTGGGCCTCACCTGGCGGCCCCAGAGCTTGCGGAAGATCTGGAAATAGGCCATGGCCATGAGGCCCAGTGGGGCCAGGTAAGTGACAATGAAGAAGCAACTGTGGTAGATCTTGGGGTAGAGGTCGTCTGTAGGGGTCAAGAGACACAAGGGCAAGAGACGCACCCCTTCTGGGGTCCTCCAGCCTGTTCCACTTAGCAAAGCCCCCTTGCCCCATCTGGAGCCGTATAGCCAAAGCAAGCAGCTGGGCCTCTTATAGACACCACGACAGAGAGGGTCTCTCTGACCCTGCAGTTGCCCAGCCAGTGGGTGTCCATCCTGGAGGGAGCCCTCACAGGTGTCTAGACTAGAGGAGATACCCGCTTTGGAGGTGTCCTTGCTAGATGCCTGCTGGATGGCGTCCATCAAGGGGTCACCTGCCCTGGGAGGGTAACCCTATAGAAGCCGGCTCCACCCTGGGAGTGCCCGCCCCATAAGTATACTGACAGATGCCTGTCCTAGGGGTACGTGTCCCGGAGGCGCCCACTGCAGGGCCTCCTGCTCGAGGCCCCCACCATTACCTGCCCAGTGTTCATCACAGACGGAGAAGAGCCGGGTGCGGTTGGCTAGCTCAGGCAGCATGCTGCTGTATTCCATGACGGCAGCCTGGGGCACCATCATGGCCAAGGACACAGCCCAGATCCCCAGGATGGAGCCACGGGCGCGCCTCGCAGTACTCTTGAACAGCAGCGGGTGGCAGATGGCGTACCAGCGGTCCAGGGCGATGAAGCTGAGAGTCAGCACCGCCACCGACACAGACACGGCCTGCCCCATGGGCACACGGTGTCAATCCCCTTGGGGGCCACCCACAGACATGGGGTGGGTGATGGGGCATGGAGTCCCGAAATGCCAGGCGTCCATGCTGACTGCGCTGCACTGCTCACGGCTTATGGAGCTTTGGGCAAATCACTCACCTTCTCTGAGGCTCGTCTGAGGAATGGGAACATGTCCTCCACCTTCAGGATTCTTGCGAGAATCCATGAAATCATGGGTGGGAAATGTCCAGGTTGAGACCTGGCCCATAGTGGGTGCTTCCCTACCATGAATAGTAACTTAATGGGACCTACTACGTGCCAGGCACTGTTCTCATTATCCTCACAACAGCCCCATGGTGCGTACTCTCACCCCACATTACAGAGGAGGACACTGAGGCACAGGAAGATTAAATAATTTGCCTGAGGTGCATTTCCTCCCCACCCTGTCTTTATTGTCAGTGTTTGCAGCATTAATCTGTTGAGTGGAAAATCTTAAAAATCCAAGAGGCGGGGCACCTGGGTGGCTCAGTGGGTTAAAGCCTCTGCCTTCGGCTCAGGTCATGATCCCAGCGTCCTGGGATCGAGCCCTGCATCAGGCTCTCTGCTCAGCAGGGGGCCTGCTTCCCTTCCCCTATCTCTGCCTGCCTCTCTGCCTACCTATGATCTCTGTCTGTCAAATACATAAATAAAATCTTTTAAAAAAAAATCCAAGAGGCATTTCTCTTTGCCCAGGGATGCCTTCCTTCCCCAGGGCTGTGAGGAAAGAGCCTCCCTCAGGGAGGCAGACGTGAGCCTAGGAACAGAAGTGGAGGTGGAGGCTTCCTCTGGGAGAGAACCCTGCCCTCTGGGGTGCATCCTGGCCTCTGGCCAAGTCTCTTCCCCCAACCCCCACCACATTTGGACAACCTGATCCCTGCCGCTGGGGATGGAAGGCCCTGGCCAGAGGTGGTCTCCTCACACCAGCCCCCTGGGAACCAGGGAGCAGGCCGAGCACGCATCTGTGCCTGTCACCGTGGGCTTGTGCCCCTCTCCTGGTGAGTGGAGGTGACTGCACGTGTGTCCAGTGGCTATGTGCGTGTGGGTCTGCGGGTGTGACCAGGTAGGGATCTCTGTATGAGTGTGTGGGGCCGGGCCTGTGTCTCCAAGTGTCAGGCCTTGTGGCCGGGCCCTGATGACAGGAGAGGACGACACAGCAGAGGAACTGAGCCACCGCATCCCGTCTGAAAGGCAAGTCCAAGGGTCGCTGAGGTCTGTGCAAGGCCATGGTTTTTTGTACTTGGGGTGACAGAGGGGTGACAGACGGTGCCTGGGTGGAGCTCACCTGTAGATAGGGGATGACCTTGCAGAGGGCATGACCGAAGAGCCAGGACTCAGTGATGTCTACCAGCAGGCTGGCCGGGAGGCAGATGGCTGTCACAAGCACGTCAGCCAGGGACAGGTTGACGATGAAGTAGTTGGTGACTGTCCTCATGTGGTGGTTCCTCCAGACAGCCAGGCAGACTGCAGGGCAGGGGTGGGAAGAGGAGGGGGACGTGAAGAGGGGGCGGGCAGAGCCGTGCTACCCAGCCCCCACACTGTCAAGCTAAGGGGAGGTGGGGAGGGAGAGAGAGAGAAGCCAGGCCCAGGACCCCGGCCAGTGCCCAGGGGAAGTCCACAGCACCGCGGGGACCTAAACACCTACCCAGCGTGTTGCCCACCAGGGCCACAAGGAACACAGCCACGTAGGCAGCGATGAGGACCCACTCATACTGCTTTGGGTAGAGATAATCACGCCACAGGTAGCGCAGGAACTCGTCTTCGTAGTCAGGAGGCACCAGGGATGGTGATGGGTCCCCAACGCCAGTGGGGGTCCCAGTCTGGGCCCCTGGGGTGGCCGAGGGCTCCATGAGCTCAGGAGCCGCTGATGGCTAGGGGCATCCTGGGCCCGGCAGGGCGTGGGGAGCCCCGACCAGGTCTCAGCCCACTTCTCTTGCACACAGGTCTCTGGGGTCCCAGCCCCAAGCCTCCTGAAAGAAGGAGGGGAGGAAGGAAGAAAGAACACTAGGAGTGTGCCAGGCACTTTGCAGGTAAGCTCCCTCCGTTCTCATAGTGCGTCGGTTACGGTGAGCCCGAAATCGATGAAGACAGATGTGGCTTACATCTCAATTCCATGCTAGGTGCTGTTGGATGCCTTACGTCTCCCCTTTCAGCCTTGGTTTCCCCATCTTTCCAAAGGAGTAATAACCGTACCTACCCCACAGGGCCGCAGCCAGGTGTAATGAGCACTAATACGTACCCAGATGCTGGCAAAGGAAACCGGCTTCAGGGCCGGCTCCCGTTACCATGAGCCCTTTGCTTAAGGCCACAAAGCTACTATGCCAGGTCTGTCTGAATCCACGAAACACCATGGATTTGTGACTGGAAGCCATCCCCATTGCCAATGTTCTCTCCTGAGTCAGTTCACAGGCCTGGATTTTTGGTTGAAAAATGGTCAAGGGAAGCATTAGGGACCCAGGCGCCGCCCTCCAGACCTGGACCCTCCCCGGTAGGACACACATTGGCGGCAGGGGTGCAGGAAGGAACTGACGACCTCCCTGCAAGAGAGGAGAGCCCCAGGCCCAGCGACCAGGCCGCTCAGACCCCCGGATCTTCCCCGCTTGAATCCCCGCGGCCGCGATGTTCCCCGACGGCCGCCAGGGGTCGCTGGGCTGGCGCGCAGGCCGCTTTCTCCATTCATAAATCGGGCCTCCCTCCCCGCCCCTCTTCGCTCGCTCAGACCCCTCCTTCCCGCGGCTAGGCAGGGACGACCCCGGACGTGTGTAGGAGGGTTGCCGGTCCCTGGAGACCACTGGGGGAGGTTGAGGGGACTCCTTCATACCCCCTCAGGTGCCGACGGACCCAGTCCCTCAGCGGGACCTCCCTGCACCTCGGGGACTGGGTTGGGGGGGGCGGCTGCGGGGAAAGGTGGAGGAACGAAGGCGCTAGAGGTTCTGCAGAAACCTGCCTGGAGGAGGGCAGAGCCTCCAGGGGACCCTGCCTTCCAGCACCCAGGTTATGCCCCGCCGAGGGTCCTTTGGAACCCCCACCCCGGGCCTGGGGGAATCCCCCAAACCCCGCACCTGTTGGCTCCAGGACCCCGGCGTCCTCGGCTGCTGGTCCCCGGACCTTGCACCGGGGACTCCGCCTCCCTGCCCCGAAGGCCGGGCTTCAGGGGCCCGGGCCGGGGGAGGGGGGGTCCGGGGCAGCCCCCTCCCAAGGCCGCGCTGCCTGGGCTTGCTCGGCTGGGCGCGAGCCGCCGCTCCAACGCCGGCTCTGGCTGGGCGCGGGCTCAGCCCGGCTGCGCGCCGCGGGGAGGGGGGACGAGCGGGAGGAGCGGGAGGGGAGGGGAGCCCCCAGCCGGTCTCCGCTTCATGTCGCCCAGCCCGAGACCGGGAGGGCGGGGGAGACGCTCATTCCTCCTCGCCTGCCACTTCATGCTTCCATCCCACCTCCATTCATGCGTCCATCCGTTCATTCATACGTTCGCTTTCACTCGGCATCTGTGCCTCCGGCCGCTGAGCGTTCAGAGCGCACCTACTGTGTGCTGGCGGGCCCTAGGCAGCTCCGGAGGGGCCCCAGCGCAGACGGGTGATCCCAGCTCCACTTCTCGCGGCCGCGCCTAGCTGAGGAGGAGGATGGCACAGGTGGGTCACAGGGGTGCCCATCTCCCAGCGCACCCCCCCTTCTCTCCGCCCCAATCCTTTTTCTTCATACCTGCTTTCCCCCCCCTCCCAAGATGGATGGTAAGTAGGGGCAGGAAGAGGGGAGCCAGAGGGCCTGACGAATTCAACAAACAATTACTAAGCTGTGTGCCAGGCAGTGAGCTAGAATAATAGGGCTGCCTCAAGTGTACCCCATCCCCCCACCATGCAGGATCTCACTTAATCTCCCCGCCAGTCCAGGGAGGTAGTCACTATTGCCCCATTTTGCAGATGAGGACACTGGGTTCACATGGTTCAGAACTTGCCCAAGGCCACACAGCAGAGGCAGAGTTAGGATTCTGACCTGTGATCCTCTCCAGGTTTACCCATCTCCTTGCCAGGCAGAAACTCCCCGTCCTTCAGACACGCCCAGGCTGGCCAGAGACAGGAGGCTCACAGCCCAGCAAGTGACTATAGCATGAGGAGGGCTGGGAAGTGGCCCAGAAGAACAGATTAATTCAACCAGGGCATCAGGACAGACTTCTTGGAGCAGGAACACAGGGACCTGAAAAGTGAGATGGCAGCCTTGCAAGGGGGATTGAGGTAGCCACAGAGAAGTTTCCAAGTAGAGGAAACAGCAGGTGTAAAGGTAGGGAGGTGGGGCCTTCCAGGAACCACTGGGAGGTGATGAGCGACCCCCTGGGCATCAGGCTGTGCCCTGCCTCAGGACAGGACCTTCCTGGCACATCCGGTCCCACCGTCCTCTCACCCCCAGTAACTCACAGTCCCTCCCTCCTTGGGGAGATTCCTGAGATGTAACACTCCATGTTCTCTGTGGCAGCCAAAGCCCTTTCTCAGAGGAGCTGGAGATGGGCCATTAAACACAGTGTTTGGTAGTGGAGCTGGGGTGACAGTGGTCAGGTCAGCAACCTCCCCTGCCTCTCCAGAAAGGGAGAACTGAAGCCGATCCTAAGGCATGACTCTGTCCCTGGGCAGGACGAGTGATGGATGCCAGCATCCGTGTGGTTCCAGTGTTCTGTCCTGCCTGCCTGGGGTGCTGGCGGTGGGAGGGGAATGAATGAGGGGACTCGAGAGAGGAGCACCTGGTGTGCGTGTGCACGTGTGCATGGGTGTGCGTGAGCGTGCATGTGTGCTTGCACATGAACGTGTGTGTCTATGTTTTTCTGTATTTAAGAGGAAGGGCTGTGAGTGTGTGTTTAGAGAATCTATTCTGTGACTCTGTGTTACTGTGTGTGTGTGTGTGTGTGTGTGTGTATGTGTGTGTGTCTGAGTGTGCATGTGAGCAGAGGACAGGCTTTGGGTTGGTGACCAAGTGTCACCCTGAGTGGGCTGTGTCTGCATGGGGCTTACTTTGTGTACATTGGTGTTTGTGTACACGAGGAGTGTGTGCGTGTGTGTGTGTGTGTGTGTGTGTATGGAGGGGGTGTCTGTCTCCCTGTGTGTCTGAATGTGTAGTTTGGGCTTTGACTAGCATCAGCCTCCTGGCGTACGCCCCTATGAGCATGGGAATGTGTGTGTGGGCACGCCTTTGTGTCTGCGGCCCTGCCACTGTTCGAATGTGGGACTTGGTTTGTCCGCCCCCGCAGCGATGACTCATCTAATCCCTCACTCTCAACCCCCCACCAACCCCCCAGCTAGAGCTGGGACTGTCTGCTATGTCAGGGCTAGGGAGGGGGCTGCAGCATGGGCTGGGACGGAGGGCGAACCGCGCGGGGACCCTCAGGTGACAGCCACAGCTGCTAATACAACAGGCACACGAGTCTGCGAGGATGGTGGGCACCAGCGGAGCCCAGCCCAGAGCTCGGGATGCTTGGGCCTCCCAGACACCCAGTGCTGGAGTGAGCAAGGGTCTCCCCAGGCCCCCAAGCCATTATACGTGGGGTGCATGTGTCTGTGCATGTGTGTGTGGAGGGGAAGGAGTCATGGCTGAGAATTCAGTTTCCCCAGAGCCAGTCCCATCTCCCCTGAAGAGGGATCCTAATGGCCAACTCCCCCTTCATCCTTTGGTCCCCCAGAGATGGCTGCCCTCCAAGACAAAGGATCAGGAGTGGTTCCTTCTACCCTGAGGCAACAGATATTTTTCCTGCTCAGACTTTCACCAGAGAGGAGGCTCTGGGCCCCCAGGTCCCCCTGGTCCTGAGTCTGGCTCCCTCACTCACGGCCTGAGGGTAAGAGAGGACAATTGTTTGGTCTGGGTAGATACTCCGAGAAAACCCTGGGATCCCAAGAGGGGGTCAGTGATGTTCTGGAAGACCCACAGGGGCTGTGGTGGTTTGGTCCTTGAGCCCAATAGCACTGGTCTCTGGGAGCTCCTGGCAAAGCACCAGGCCCAGGGGAGGCGTCGGGGGATCTCATGTCATCCATCTCCAGGCTGGGCACTCAGCCCTAGGACCTCCACGGCCCAGCGAGACCAGCCCTGGAGACTTGGCTTTGCCTGAGCTGTCCGTCAACTGGTGACCACATGACCTCTTTCCTGGAACCAGCCAGCCCTGGCCTTGTTGATCTAATCCTGGACCTCTGAGCCCCAGGTCCCTGTCACATCCATCTTTAAGTGCGATCCCCGGCACTGGCCCCAGGTGCTGCTTCCCCCTCCCTTCCAATTCCAGTGTGACCTCTGTCAGGCTAGGACTAGAATAATCAAAATATAATTGGGTTTTCCACTTGCTAATGCTGCCAAAGGCCTGGGCTGTGCATGGGAACACTCTGAACAGGGCAGGGGTGACTCTTAGAAGAACAGAAATCAGCAGACAAGCAGAGGGATGCAGAGGGGTGCGGGGCAAGCCAGCAGGGGCGGGGTTGTGGGCCCAGAATGGGGGACTCTGAGGGCTGAGTCTGGCAGGCCACTGAGGAGGCTGTGGGGTTTGGTCCTCGGGACCAACAGCACTGGCCTCTGGGAGCTCCTAGCAAAGTGCCACCCCATGGGAGGGACCCAGGGGCCTCATGTCCTCTGTTTCCAGGCTAGGCGCTCAGTCTTTGTGCCTCCTCCCCTCGGGAAGGGCTGACCCTCCTTCAGGGTGTGGGTGGCTTGAAGGGCATGGACATCCACTGAGAGAGCAGGGGGCCTAGGACCTACAACCAGGCGTCCTTGCTGGCTTCATAAGCTACTGATCATCTTCCAGCTGGGACAGGGGCTAGAGACAGCAGTCTCTGCTCCCTCGCTCATATATTCACTCAACAAACACGGACGGTGAGTTAGCTATCAAGAG